TTTCAGTGGAAAGAGAGTGGAACAGAGGTAGGGATATTTTATTCACTCATTAGGACAATCAGATCAGAAAAGAAAAGCAGTCAACATCCATTTTGAGGCTCTGAAAACAATGTGGTCTTGCTTGGGTAATAAATCCACTTGTGGACATGTTGAAGTGCACGAAGCTTCCTTGGATGGCAGGAGATGGTCACGGGGATACACATTTAAGAAGGTTGGAAATTAGCATGGAGGGCCCAAGATGGTTGTCTCAGAAGCATTAGTTTTTTGTTTTGTTTTGTTTTTTTAAGACTTTGATGGGGCTAAGGTCAAACTATGCATTTGCTCTACTCTTCAGTACTCTTTAAAAAGTAATGGGTTTAAATGCTTCTTTTGTCTTAGGCTGTATTAATAAACCAAATCTCCATTTCGAACTGAGTATTGGTAAGGAGTGGGAATGTTGGGAATGCAGCGCTGTCCTTTATGTAGAGAAGAGGTTAATGGGTCAAAAACCTGGAACAAAACAAAACCCCTAAGTGATTCCAGGTTGATCTAAAATCATTGATTTTTGAGAAAGAGCACATTAGCCTGACAAGCAGGGCTCATTCTAAATGGCCTTGTCTCAATGCCGGCCCATTTCCTTGCTGGCTGTGTGGTGCCCTTCTCTTTGGAGCAGTGTGCAGACAGCCCCAGGATGTGCCCCTGCCTCACTGACTTGTGAGTGGGCAGACTGGACCTCCAATACCAGAGCTGCTTTCTACGGACCATGTGACCCATGCCAAGCTACACGGACATTCTGAGCTTGTTTCCTCATGGGTAAAATACGTCTAAGATCAGCATTTGGCCCTCATAGACACTGGCAGGGCTGTAGCAAGATCATGACTTCCTCTCACTGTTGTCAGTTATGCATCTCTGGACCCATAAATGGAAGGTCCTGCTGTTATAGTTCCCTCCGGAAATGTGAGCAGATTTGTCTGTCCTCTGATGAGGTCCAGGAATGGACTTGGCTGGATGGTTATGGTAGTGTCAGTCAAAGTCTGCACGGCAATTATTCAGAGAGAGAAAATGAACATCTGGATCAAATATCAGAGTCTTTAGTCTTTGGTAGTATTTGGTCATGCTTCCTATGCTGTGTTTAACTGTGCCCAACCTCAGCGTGACCCCCCCCCGCCTGAGCCTGTGTATGGTATGGCCTCAGACAAGGCTCTGTGGGTATTGTATCCTGCATCTTGGGATTGCCAAACCAGAGAAAGACATGTCCTTTAGCCTGATTTAGGTGGAGGACACACTGTTTGAGACAAAGGTTCTCAGGAATAGACCCTCATCAGTTAGAAACTTGCCTCTCTGCTTCCTGGTTGTGAGACCCTGGACAAGGTGTTTCACCAAGCTTCAGTTTCTCCCCACATACAGTGGGGGTGATGATGAGCATTGATGAGGCTTCAAAGGGTAATTATGAGGCTGAAAGGAAATGATACATCTAGGCCATGGAGCACAGGGCTTGGTCACAAAATGTTCATTATCAACTATTACCCCAGGGTAGAGCGGGAAGAGCGAAGAAATCCCTCAAGTGCTGGCAGTGAGAAGCCTCATTCTTGAGCCTCCTTGCCCCGAGGAAAGTCACAGAGGTCTCAACAAACAGCTGACACAGTGGGTTCTTTCCATTCACTAGGGCTGAGGAGTGAGGCACAAGCACAGGGAGATTCTCCCTCAGGGATTAAGAGGATTGTGGAAGCTCAAAGCCTTCCAAGAACAGATATGGGGACTGGTCTTGTAAGACAGAGAAAGAGCACTCTGTGCCTCTGTGTTCCCATCTCAGTAAAACCTATCCCCAGGTTCTCTCTTCTGATGGTTGGTTTGTAGTGAAAATAAATCACAGGGCCACGCATCCTCTCGGGCCTGAGTCTCCAACTCAGGACGTCACGACCCCACCTTTATGTGGACACAGTGAGAACCTGCTTTGAGGGTTGGACAAGTGGGTGTCTAACATCTGGACAGGGAGGTGTGGAGTGCTCACAGTCTGTGTGCAGTTCCCTAGCTGTATTTGCTTCTTTGGGTGACTCCTGGAGCCCCATCTCAGCAGGAGGGACACCAGTGGTCACACATGTGTCCACGCATGCATAGGTGCACGCACGCACACACATGTGCACACACACATACACACACACAGCCTTCCATGCCAGGGAGGTAATGAAAATGAGTGAAGCTGGCCAAGTGTAAGACAAGTTTTGGGAGAAGGTCTGTGATGATTTCGAAAACTTATGACTGGCTCAAAGTCATAAAAAGAGTCTCATGGGAGAGAATCTTCTAATTTTAGAAACAGTTCAGCCGGGTGCTCTCTGTTTGTGGCTTGTCTACCCCTGTTTAGCAGTGGCACTGCTCGTCGTGCCCACTGGTGGTGAGGGCTGGGCATGGGGGTGGGGCAGCAATGGCCCAGGGGACCCCTGGACATCTTGATGAAGCTCCATCCAGAGTGGCTGGGAGGAGAAGAAAAGATGAACTCAGCCAGCTGGGCCATCGCCACTGGGCCTTGCCATTCTGGTGGAGTCACCTGGGGTCTGGTACCCTTGGGCCTCTAGCGGTCCCAGATCTCATCTGCAGAGGAAAAGGGGATTCAGGGAAGAGGCTGCCAGATTGGCAGCTCCCTTGTCTCTGCTGGTGACACTCTGAGCAACCTTGGGCCACATGCTTTTTCTAGCTTCTGGAGAACCTACACTTCTCATAGAAGGACCAGGACTACCTTAGATCTCCTGGGGTTTCTGCAAAGTGACAGCCTCTGTCTCAAGCCTTATTTCCTATCTATAGCAGTGTTATTGTAAATGAGGCCCGGACTTCTCAACAGAGATTTCAATAACAAGAGGCTTAAGGGAATAAGGAATTTGCAAATCTTAAACCCTGGAAACAGGCCAGGAGTTTAGTAATGCTGGAAGAAACTTGAGATTTGCCCAAGAGCCCTGAAGCCCCTCTCTCTAGCTTCCCACTTGCTCCCAGCACTCTAGAAGGCTCCAACAAGATTACTGGAAAGTCTGGCCATTAAAAGACAACTCATGGCCTATTTTTAGCCTGGGTCCTATATCAAAACCAAGCGGAAGACTCATCTTCAGCATTAACAGTGGCCCTCTGCACAGAGATAAGAGTTGTGGTTAACTGTGTGTGTGTGTGTGTGTGTGTGCGCGCACGCACTCGCACACCAACCCTTCCACTGGCTGAGATATATCAGACTTTTAAGCTGTCTTTTGCAAGGCTATTGGGAAAATAGATATATCTTAAAACAGCTTCCTGAGAGGAGGCAGGCCTCAGCTCTGGGCAGACTGTAGCAAGGGGAGCTATGACCAAAATACCTGAGAGCTGAAAAGAGTACATTTTACCTACCTGGAAACCAAGGCCTAAGGAGAGCAGGGTGGGCTCAAAATCAACATGGTAGACCAGGAATTCCAGACATAGAAGCCCTATTGAGGTTTACCTTCCTCTCCCCAGGATGGGAAGTTGTGCACCTTGGCAGTCATTCCCTTGCATGTAGGTGACAAGGTGGCTCTGGCAGAGGCGGGGACAGGTTCCCCAATCAGCCCATTTACTGAGGTCAAGGAATGGGGCCATTTACGCAGGGCCCTCAGTAGAGCAATTCCAGACCCTTCCTGGTGTCCACTGGGCAGGGTTTCTGACTCTGGGGAGCAGGGAGTTCCTTGGCCAGAGTCCTGGCCTTTTCAAAAGTTGGGGCCCTTGGGCTCCAGACTAGCTGTCCCTCTGATCTGCAGGGTGACCTTGGGCAAGGTCGCTGCCTCTATTTGGGCTCAGGTGCTCCATCTTGCAATAGAAGGAATGTCATTAGACCTTCCCCAACAGCTAACTTCCTGTGAAGACCTAGATGCTAGAAGAGCCCACCAGCCAGCCATCCCACCGAACTCGGAACCAGGTCATGTGGGCTTCTCCCAAGAGGTTTATGGGCTCAGTTTCACGGAGCTTTGCTCATTCTGTGCATCCTTGATCCTCCAAAACACCTGGCCAGCAGGTCCAGATTGGAAAGTACCATCCTAGAGGGACTAGGTGGCTCTCCCAAGGTCACACATCAGCAAATGACTGAGTGGGGGCTGGAACCAGCACAGCTGGAGTCCTGAGCTGGGGGACATTTCTTACTTGCCAAGACTCATACGGGATGTTGTCCAGTGGCAAGGAAGGACTAGGCGAGCGATGTGCATCTCTTCCTGATGCCCAAGGGACAGTGGAGCCTAGAGCTGAGAGCTCAGAATATTGACTTCTCACACAGACCCTGACCATGTGGGGAATCTGGAGGGGCCAAAGGTTGGCATCTACACTGGGGAAGGGAGCAGGCAGAACCAGGCTGCTCTGGTTCTGCTCTGAGAGTCAAGCAGCCCTGTGATCAGGCAGAGTGAGGGAGAGGAGCCCAGCTTAGGGAGCCATTCTACCTCAGACCCATGGCGCGTTCTTGAGGTCACACCACAGAAAGGGGGACTGGATTTCCATGGGACTTTCTGTTAGTGGCGGGGGAAGTAGGGCAAGGGAAGCCTGGGATCTCCATGTCCACTGCTGGACCTCAGCCTGTCCCAAGTGCTGGGAATTCTCTTTCCTTGAAATGGAGCTGTGGTTTGAGTAAAACATGACAAGCTCTGTTGACCGGCTTCATGACTATACGGTGAAGCATCCAACTCTCACATTTGCCTGGGCTTCTATACCTTCAGCTTCCGCTCTCACCTCCACCTTACAATAACCGTCAAGGAGGTAGAGGAGACCCTTTCTACTTATTTTGCAGATGAGGACACCGAGGGCTCCCTAGGTCACATGGGTGGGGGCCAGCCAAGTGGAGATCCAGCACCAGGCTCCCTCACCCGGGCTCACCCTCACCCGGGCTCACCCTGCAGAGCAGTTTCTGGAGGCACTGGGAAGAAAAGTAAAGGCTGATGTGGCCAGATGTGTCCATCTGTCCCCAGCCTGCTGGCTCCCACCCCTCGAGCAGCCTTGTCTACTGTGCCTAGTGCCCAGGGGACGGCAGCTGGGAGGCGGGGTCTTACCTGCAGCGGTGGTGATGCCCAGGAGCCGGCAGGTGTATTCCAGACCAGTCCAGAACTTTTGCAGCTTCATGGTGCCAGGGTTGAGGGCAGGGTCCCAGTAGGGCAGGCAGCAGAGACTCCGGCCTGAGATGCTCCTTGATGCCCGTGTGCAGGGGGAGGCTGTGGCTGTCAGCTCTGGGCCCCCGTGCCCTGGGGCCCTGCCTTCCAAACCAGTCTTGGCCACCACCACCTGGTTGAGGTGTGAATAGGGCTCACCTTCCCAGCTCTGCTGCCTATGCCCTTGCCAGACGCTTAGCTTAATCATTACCTTGGAAGAATGCCTCTGCTGCTCCGCGCAGCTCCAGCCTGGCCCAGAGCTGCTGCGGTTCCAGCACGGTCAGCCAGCCGCTTGAGATCACGCCAATTAGGGCTGGGCTGGAGGCAGCCTGGAGCTGGCAATTAACCATTTCTGGGCAGGAGGAGAGAGCCGAGGAGCCAGCCCAGGCCCTTCCTTCCTGGTCAGCTCTGAACAAGTCACACCTTGATCTCAGGCCCACTGGGTCTAGGAAAGCTGGTGTCTAGAGGGGACAGGTCCATATCAGTGTGTGTGTGGGAGAAAAAGATGTGTTTTTAAATCACCAGCAGAAGCAGCTTTTGAAATGAGTTCCAAGCTTCTCTTCTTCTGCATATAGATAGAAAGCTTTGCAGTCTGTGTTGAATTTGGACCCCACCAGACATACCTAGAGCTCAGGCCGACACCACACACGTACCCTCCTTTATCCCTGACATGCATCCCTGATGTGCGATGTGGGAAATCACTGGGATACTTTGGGAGGAGACTTTCTATGTCAATAATTAACTGGTGACCTTGGGGAAACCCAGAGATATTTGTGAGCCGTAGTAACTTTTGCAGAAAACAAATGGGAGGGTTTGGCTAGACTGGTGGCTCTCAAAGTATGTCCTGATTGCTGCTCTAAGAAACCCAGCTTCAAAAAGTCGACAATCGTGGGCTTTTGCTAATTCTCAATTTACTCATTGATGCAAGGAATTGCATGATATCAAGTTTTAACTTTTCTCCCAGGCATTTCTTTCTCAAGTCTTTTACTCTTGTGCTCAGATGGGATAGATAGCAAAACCACCAAATTAGGTCAAAACCTGAAACAAAAACAAAAACCCAAAACCCCAAAACCAAATTGTAATGATAATAAAAAATTCAGGCATAGTCTGTTTTGCTTACTGCTTTGTGAGGACCCTATACTCTCATATAATGGATAGATATTTTTAACTATTAAAATTATTCTAAGTTTCCAATGAAGGAAATAATCAACAAAACTAAAAGATAATCTACTGAATGGAAGAAGATATTTGCAAATGCCGTCTCTGATAAAGGGTTAGGATCCAAAATCTATAAAGAACTTATCAAACTTGACACCCCCAAAACAAATAATCCAATTAAAAAATGAGCAGAAGGCATGAACAGATATTTCTCCAAAGAAGACATCCAGATGGCCAACAGACACATGAAAATATGCTCAGCATCACTCATCATCAGGGAAATGCAAATCAAAACCGCAAGGAGATATCACCTTAAACCTGTCAGAATGGCTAAAATCAAAAACACAAGAAACAATGGGTGTCGGTGAGCATGAACTGTTGGTGGGAATACAAAATGGTGCAGCCACTCTGGAAAATAGTATGGGTTAAAAAAAAAAAGAAAAGTAAAAATAGAACTACCTTGTCACCCAGAAAGCACACTACTGGTTATTTAGTCCCAAAACACAAAAACACTAATTCAAAGGGATACACATACCCCTATGTTTATAGAAGCATTATTTACAGTAGTCAACCTATGGATGCAGTCCAAGTGTCCATCAACTGATGAATGGATAAAGAAGATGTGGTACATATACACAGTGGACTATTACTCAGCCATAAAAAAGAATGACATCTTGCCATTTGCAATGATATGGATAGAGCTAGAGAGTATTATACTAAGTGAAATAAGTCAGAGAAAGACAAGTACCATGTGATCTTACTCATGTGTGGAATTTAAGAAACAAATGAGCAAAAGAAAAAAAAAAGAGACACACAAACCAAAAAACAGACTCTTAACCATAGAGAACAAATTGATGGTTACCAAAGGGAGGTGGATGGGGAGGTGGGGGAAATAGAGGATGGGAATTATAGACGTATTATAATAAAAAAAATAAAGTTATTCTGATGTGATTGATTAATTTGATCAAGATTTCATAATATTCATAAAAGCTATATACTTTTTTCATCTCCCCCCTTTGATTGAGTTTAAGAATCTCTGTGTTCATGGGATCTTTAAGGTCAAGTTTAAAACTGTGTGGTTTGACATATTTATTTCTTGGGTCAGCTGACTATGTTTAATAGCAGACTGTGATCATCAGCTCCAAATTTCCCAATTTTCCGCAGGCCTTGGCACTCATGTCTCCGTGCATTGCCTCTCCTACCTGGATTTCTGTGACAGACACTGAGGCACACAGATGTTGCTGCTGGGGACCGGGGCCTGTGGCCCTGTGGCTCCATGTCCTGTGGGGACCTGTTCTCTCTGAGCCCCTCAGGAGACTCTGAACAGCCCCGCAGCCTTCCTGGCTTCCTCCTTGCTCACAGCAGCTGGTTTTCTTGGCTCTCTGATACCTGCCTGCTTGGAAGACATAGAGTCCTTCCAGGCCTTGGTAGACAAGATCTGTTTAGCTCAGTCCCGATTATAGCCTCTCCTTCTTAGTGCGTTTGTTTTAGGAATGAGCATGAGGCCCACTTCTGGTCAAACAGCCCAGAAGGGACATGTGCTGATGCTCTTCTGGGAAAGCATCCCTCACTTTTTTTTTTTTTTTAAGATTTTATTTATATATTTGACAGGAAGAGATCACAAGTAGGCAGAGAGGCAGGCAGAGAGAGGCGGGGGGAAGCAGGCTCCCCGCTGAGCAGAGAGCCCGATGCAGGGCTCAATCCCAGGACCCTGAGATCATGACCTGAGCTGAAGGCAAAGGCTTAACCCACTGAGCCACCCAGGCACCCCAACATCCCTCATTTTTAACAGGGGGTCCAAGGAGGGGCCGGGCTCCCCCTCTTTGGGTGCACCTGTGTCGGGATGGGCAGCTCTGTCGTGATGGGAGGGTCAAGGCAAAGGGCGCAATCAGCAGGTGGAGTCTGGCCGGGGATGCAGCAGCCACACTGGGCACCGGCTATCCTTTGGGAGCTGCTAAACTTACCTGTTCCTTATTGCTAAGCCAGTTACTAGGTTTGGGTTACAGCCCAAAGCATCTTGCCTGACATGGTGGGTCATGCCTGAACAGAGTTCTTGCCAAAACCTCTCCTCAGGAGGCTCTTTCCTGCACACTGGGCTCCAGTTGGGGAGAGTTAGAACCAGGGAGCTCCACCCCTCCTGAGGGTGTCCCTGTTTCACGGGGGCTGCTGCCAATATGGACGGAAGTGGGGTGTTGGGTCAGTGGGGGAAAGAGGGTTCAGCCTGTAGCAAACACACAATGTGGAGGAACCCCAGGGTGTGTCGTCTCGAAGAAACTGCCTGGAGAACTCTGGCACAGTTTCTGGCCGCTCTTACTACCATGAAGCCGTTTGTGGAGCTTCATGTGGAGAAAGGAGAAATCTAGCTGGCAGATAAGGTTCTCAGACATCTCAGAATTCGGAGAAAAGATTTCCAGGAACCAAGGGCCAGAGGCCCTGAAATTGAAGCTGACTGATGGAAGGTGGTAGAACTCTCAGACATTGTAGTCACCAAGGGGCCCAGAGGGAAAAGAAAGGGGTGTGTTCCTGCCCCTGGAACCACTTCCTACAGGCTGGAGAAAGGGTGGAGGGAAGGACCCAGACTGTGGACGGCTGTAAGGGACCTGACTGAAGAGTATGGAAAAGTACCCTGAGCAACAAAAAGTGAGTGTCAGATTCCAGCAGGTTAGGAAGCAGAGCACTAGGGACCCTGTTGCTCTCTTCAATGGTGTGACATGGATATCACATGGAGAAAGTGGACTTCCCACTCCTGGTGCACTGGAAGGAGTCTCAACTTGCCTTCATGGGTGAGAGTTATGGGGAAAAGCTCATAGCAGGGGAAGGTGTTCTATCCATCATTCCCCTGCTGATAGGATGGGCTGGTGCAGGATGTCATGAACTCCCTGGAACCCCCAAGCTCAATGTCTGTGAGAGTGTGTGTGTTTGTGTGTGTATGTGCACATGCATGTGTGCATGGGTGGGGAACACCGTGGGTCATTCTCAAGCACTGATTGGATGATTTGGACCCGGGAATCTGATTCCAGATGGCTGTGATTCCTAAAAGAATCCAGACAGGTGCTCTGAGAAGTTCCAGGGAAGCTCTGAGAATGCAAAAGAAGAGAGCTGGGCTCTCCTACCTTGCCTGGTTCCCCTTCTACACGTCTGTCCACAGTCCCTGGGTGCCCGGCCAAGGCCGAGAAGCAGTGTAGTGATGGAGAGGAGGGACGCCAAGCTCGGCTCCGCAGTTAACAGCTGTGGGGCCTGGGACGTTATTTATCCTCTGTCAGTCTTCACTTCCTTATCTGTCCAATGGGTCTACAAGGCGTCTCACTGGGTTGGAAGTAAGGTGTCAAAAGTACCTGTCTAAAACAGATACCAGGAAACGGGGTCTAATGTTATAAGTGAACAAAGAAAGCTGTCTGAATTGTGGCCAAACTTTTGTAGATATTTTTACAACAGGATTCCACCCAGCAAACTGACAACACTCCAAATTCGGGGCACAGCCTGGCCCTGACCTCATGGAAAACTAGGCTAGAGGAAGTAGTTGTTCCTTGGGCCCACTGTGTGTTGTAACCATAGGAAGACAGTTCAACTTGATCCACTTACAATCATTCAAGTGGCTTGGTAATGAATGTCCTGCCTCCAGGGCCGTGAAAACTGGCGATAATGGCGGTGACAATGAGAATAGCTAGTGTTTGCTCAACATTAACTGCATTCCTGAATGTTTATAGCAGCAATGTCTACAATAGCCAAACTATGGAAAGAACCTAGATGTCCATCAACAGACGAATGGATAAAGAAGATGTGGTATATACACAATGGAATACTATGCAGCCATCAAAAGAAATGAAATCTTGCCATTTGCAACGACGTGGATGGAACTAGAGGGTATCATGCTTAGCGAAATAAGTCAATCGGAGAAAGACAACTATCATATGATCTCCCTGATATGAGGGAGAGGAGATGCAACATGGGGGGTTAAGGGGGTAGGAGAAGAGTAAATGAACAAGATGGGATTGGGAGGGAGACAAACCATAAGTGACTCTTAATCTCACAAAACAAACTGAGGGTTGATGGGGGGAGGGGCGTTGGGAGAG